GGTTCAAATAAAGGAGATTTGAAGGAAGGAAGTGAGATTATTTAGTCATGGTGAAAGCAGGAGGAGGATGCATAAAAAACTCAGAGTTGAAAATGAAGACAGTGGGATATCTGGAGAGGAAAATTGGGGTAATTGGTCACTGGAGTTTGGGAGAAGAAGTACTAATCTGTCTGGTGTGTGTGTTAGGATCTTGGAAAGGTCAGGGGAACAATTCTGATCTGCAGAATTTTATCAGCATCTTTTATTACTTTTCCCCAGAAATGTTTTCCTCTCCTCACATGGACAGAAGTGGTGTGAGGGTGCTGTCGGGAAAAATAATACCAATGAGAACATTTGAAAAATCAGGAAAACGTAGATCCCTGTCACAGCTTTGCATCAACTGAGGGATGCTGCCAGTCCAGCCAGGCAATACTTTCAGTTGATGAACCAGTGGGTCCTTCAAGTAGAAGAGCAAGCTATTCTGTCTTATACCAATTCAAAAAACAAATAGAGTAGCACATTAGCCAACTGAAGTTGATTTAATTATCAGCTTTATCAAATTATACCTGCTGCCAACTGCAAAGCTATGATTAAGTAAGTTTGACCAGATGTCACATATCTCTGTAGGGGACTATGGTTTCTGGTGGTGTCCTTCAGGTTCTGGTGCTCTTTCTTGAAGATATTAAACTCGATTTTCTTATGCATTGCTTACTTCATTCTGCTTTCCTATCCAAACCCTCGTTATATGAGACATTGTGCAAAACCTATTCCTTTAACTTCTCTCCTCCTCTCTCCTCCTCTCTCCTCCTCTCTTCCTTTCTTTAATGGGCTTTTGCATATCTGCCACAGATACCCACCACCAACATCCCAGTGCCTTTCTACTAGCAGTGGTCATCAGAACAATGTAATTTCTATTCTCACTAAATTAGGCTGAAAATCAGTAAAAAATTTGCAGAGATGGCACCTGTCCATCAGTTTCTTCCTTGTAAGATTATCTGGACAGATGTTTTCAGGGGCCTTCAGGATCTAAATGGGAATATCTCTCTCTGATTCTTTAAAAGCATGAACAATTTCTGTATGACGTGCTGCAATGACATTTAGAAATCTCCATCTCTAGAAACTTCCAGATTAGGAAGATTAGGTAGACTAGTACGTATTTGGTTGAGCTTGGCAGACTGGAGATGGAGACAGTGGGGAAGCAGGACATGATATGCTAACTGGTGTGTACAGGCAGCCTGTGCTGTGTGTATGAAACTCTGCACAACTGCAAAGAGCCTTCTTTCCCTTCCTTTTTTTTTTTGAAAAAATATGCCATTACTTAATAGTCTGTAAAGGCTTTGCTAGAGGTGGTGGTGGGATGGGAATCCTGTGGGAAGAAGAAAGAGACCTGCATCAACAGGCGTTTCCCATTCTCTTAAATGAATCATTATGGAGAATGACTGTCTTGTTGTTGCCTTGTTCATGGTTCTTACAGTCCTGAGAACTCTTTCACTTTCCAGATAATTTGAAGACCTATTCAACCCAAGGAAAATAAGCAGTAAATGGAATAGCCACTTAGGAAAAGGAGATGGGAAAATAGAATTCCTTCTAGCTCAAGGGACACTGCAAGTGTCACAAATAAATCTCCTAACAAGGAAATTCACTGAGTAGAATCTCATTCCTACAAAATTAGGCTTTCCTTGTTGAGTTTACTGAAGATCAAATCTTTGAAACTGTGGAATAAAAAAGAGCTAAATGCAGGTCAATACAGTCTCAATTCCAGCTCTCACCAGGGAGTGAGAGCCCCCAGCAGTTTCCACATGCTAAGTCTGTCTTCCTTGGGCCACGTGTGACCAGTGACAGTGCAGGCACAGCTCAGAGTTGGTTGAGTATACAAGATTATGCTAAAAAGAGACTTGGGACAGCCTTTAGTTTCAGGCTTGTCTCTCATGACATCCTGTGCTTGTGTGAACACAGGGGTACATCTGCTATTACTCTGAACAATGTCAGCTGTGGCAAATGGACCTTATTGCCATTCTCTGTCAGCAAAGTCTGGGGGTTTAGAGAGACAGGAGTGTCAGAAGGTATCCCAGAAACAAGGAGAAATTTGTAAAAGTGTCCTGGTTTCAGCTAGGATAGAGTTAATTTTCTTCCTAGCAGGTAGTACAGTGCTGTGTTTTGGATTCAGGATGAGAATAAAGTTGATAACACACTGATGTTTCAGTTGTTGCTGAGCAGTGTTTACACTAAGTCAAGGACTTTTCAGCTTCTCACACTGCCCTGCTAGTGAGGAGGCTGGGGGTGCACAAGAACCTGGGAGGGGACACAGCCAGGACAGGTGACCCTGACTGGCCAAAGGGGTATTCCACACCATATGACATCATGCAACCATAAAACTGGGAGAATTTGGCTGGGGTGGGTGACAGCTGCTGCTGTGGGACTGGCTGGACATCCACAGTGGCTGAGTGGTGGGCAGTCGTACTGTGCATCACTTGTATATTATTTTGTAACAATAATAACAACAATAACAGTAACAATGATAATAATTCTTGTTTTCCCTTCCTTTTCTTTCTTCTTAAACTGCCTTTATCTTAGCCCATGAGTGAGGAGATGATCAGGCACTCATCTGCTATAGTTCTCTGCCAGATATCTTCAAAGGTAGATCTCTGTGCTTAAAACTGAGCAATTTTCGGCCCTCTAGTTCCATATGCACTCACTGATTTGAGACAACCCCACACATTGTAGAATGTCTTTGACTTTGACCTTTCCAGCAAGAGAAATGACTCTTTATGCCACCTTGCAAATCTCGCTCCTAACGCAATTACACACTAGGGGTGGTTTGCGCAGGACTGTGTTTGAAAAGAAAATGACATTAAACTTTCCATCCTAGAAGAGTACCAGTATATCAATATCCAAATCAAATAATATAAAGCTTCCTTTGTCTGCCAGCTAGGAATAAGAATGCATTATACATCTAATATGATTTTTGCCGTGTCTCTAATATGATGAGGTTTAAATTAAAATAAATGTGACTGCGTGCTTTTGAAGAGCTAATCAGGCTGAAACGTTCTAGCCTAAGTGGTGTAGCACAAGGAAATAAATGTGTAGTTTTCTAAGCTGCCGGATTTACGCATAACTGTTGTGCAGGATGTGTGATGGGAAGACAATAGGAGGGTGAGACACTTAGGGTGTTCCTGGGTGTGCTTGGTAAAAGTCAGTAACAGGAAAATGATTTGAATGCAGTCTGGATGACAGCCCTGTGATTCTGCTAATTAATTAGCTCAAGTCTTATTGGTGTTTAATCAACTCTTCCTTCTGCCCCATGTGATTTTTGGTTTTTACCGAGAGGGTGCTTTTTTTGTCTGCCACAAAAAACTAATCATTATAATGACAAAGCTCCATTCACTTGTCTACCACGGCCTTTAGTATTTTTTTTTTAAAAGTACTTTCTCTTCTTTTCTTTATTTTTTTCCTTCTAAACAAACCTTACCTCAGGAAATCTTTAGTTCTCAGTCTCAACTCACTGACTTCTGATTGCAAATTATGTATGAGTCTTCCACTGAAAGCAAAAGCAGTAGCTTTACCACAGCAGTATAGACCTGTCCTGATTTCAAACTCTTGAAAAAACAGCAGTCCCTAAGACTTTCTGACCTGGACTTTTATCTTACCACAGCTCATGGACTCAAAACAATTCTGCAAAGGCCCAAATTCCTGGAAGTACCTTCTGAAAAGCTATTATTCTTTGTAAAAAGCATGCGCCTCTTGGCTTCTTGATGATGATCACAGATCTGTCTCTCTCTGAAGGACTGAATCTGGTACACCTTTTTTTATGCACATCTTGTTAGGAGAGTTCCAAAATACAGCTAAAAGGCTGTATTTCAAAAGCTCAGATTCCTGCAGCACTGAATGCTGGAAAGGAACAAAACTGGCTCTGAGTAAATTTTGCAAGAAGTTGTTGCTCAGGGACTATGGAAGTGGAATTAGCCAGGGATTTGGATTAATAGCCAAAACACATCTTGAAGGCACCTAACTCTGATGATCCATTGTTTATTAAATAGTTACAAAGGCATCACAGACTCCACTAGAAGGAATTCATTGTAAACGTTGTTGCCTTCAATGTGGCTTTATACACATTGTTTTCCTGTTAGGGAAAGAAAAAATTACTCAATAAGCAATGGACTTCAAGCAAAAATTTGCCTCAATCTGCACGTTTTTCGTTAGATGAATGATATCTTAAATTCCATAGTCTCCATTGTAACCATAAGAAGGTTACATCATTGGAGGCACCTAAAAGTTAGGAAGGACAAATCCCACCTGAGTTTATGTGAAGTTCATTTTTGACGCTGTGATACATCAGCACACTGATGAAGCTATTGACTGTCTGAATTCATGTGCAGAAGCTTAGGGTTTTGCTTCTATTGTTCCTCAGGTAAGTCCCAATTGTATGGGCCAACTTGGCAGCTCTAGCATGAGTCAAGGGCCTGAAGGATTTCACAGGACTTTTGGCAACTTGAAAAAATGGGTACTGTTTCTGTATTTAATTTAAGGTGCTTCTGCACTTCCACGCTCTACATTCAAGATGTGGTATTAGCTGTTGTCCTTCCCTCTCAGATAGTAACTTCTGGATGCACCAGAGATGACAAGAAAATGTCCTTTTCTGAAAGATACCCGTTGCAGATAAAAAATGAAATTTCATAGGTGAACATTCACAGTCCTCGTGGTGCTGGGTAGCAAACCTTCCTAGAAGACATTTGATGCTTTAGCTGCCATTAGAGGTAAAGGTAATAGGGTAATTGTTGTCACAGGGTCTCATTTTGAAATCCAGCCTGACTACAGTTTAATATTTATTTTCTTTAAATACCATGTTTGGGAACCTGCAACCGACATAACAATCTGCTCTGTTACCATTAATTATTGAGAATGTAAGTGTTTTATTACAAGTACTAATACAACTGGCCTAGATAATCCTGAAGTGAAAGTGTAGGAGAAAAAATAATCTCCCTGCAGAAATCACACCAGGGGTCTGTCTGTGTTTTGTGCAGGTGATTCCAGCCTTTGCTCAGCCTGCGTTCATGAAAACAATGTTTACAGCAGAATATTTCAGATTTTGTACAGAAACGAAGAGATCATTCTTAATGAATCAATGAACTTCAGAGTGCACCTGCTTCTGGATGGTGAAAGGGTGAGTTGTCTTGAGATGCACATAAAAACTAGGGGGGTTGGGATTCCTCTTACCTAACTGGGTGTCCATTGCACAGATATCTCCATTGAAAAGTTGTCCCTGTGCTGTTAGAGGTCTTATCAATGTAGGTGGTGGAGATAAAGGCATGATTTATGTGACTGAATACCAGCATCTACATTAGAAGGAGACTGACCGTCCTGTATGCATCATTACCTATGCCAACAAGGGTGCCTGGGGTGCTTTGTTTATTTGTAAATGCCAACTGTATGAGCATCTGCATTAGTCAGATAGACCCTATGCCCTGTGCCTGTTATGAAGGGTAGCCTACACCTTGTCTTTCCAGCAGAATAAAATGTTGACCATCAGTATATCAGAAATTCAAATTTATCAACTACAATTTGTCATTTGTGCACCCAGTCACTCATTCTACATATCTGTGTAGATCAATCTCATCTGAGAAAACCAGGAATATTCTACATCTTGTTATGACCAGCTTCTACTCCTGCCGTCCATTACTGCTATCTCCTCCTCCTCCTTCTCCTCCTCCTCCTCTTCATCCCTCCTTGAGGCTGTTTTTTGCTGCAGTCCTGGTTACAGGAGTGCATGGCAGATTTGCTGGAGCTTAGACTCCCTAAAGTCCACATACGACCCCTTTGCTTTCTGTTGGTAGAGAGACACATTCCCAGGTTGAATCACCATCCCTGGAGGTATTTAGAAGATGGGTAGACGTGGTGCTGAGGGACATGGTTTAGTGGTGGTTTTGGCAGTGTTCGGTTGGTGGTTGGAATCGATGACCTTAAGGGTCCCTTCCAGCCTTAGACAATGCTATGATTCCATGACATTAGCTGTTTTTGCAAAATCAATGTGCCATCAAAATTAATTATACAGCCAGTGTGAATCAAATGCTGTGTGTTGAACTTGGGGCCAGAGATTCTCACCTGTACTTCCTTATATAACTTTGTCTCAGAGCCTGAAGAGATTTAAAATTTCTCTTTTGTCTGATATCTACCCATATATACATGGATTATATAAAGATAAGCCAAGATCTAAATTAAAACAGCTGGAGAATCTAATTTAAGCTGATTTCACATGCTTTTCTTTTCCTCCCACCTTTTTCTTGGTGTTTTGGTTTGTGGTTTGTTTTTTTTTAACGTCATGTCATCAGTTTATTCCTCCCTAGAATAGTTGTTTTGTGCTTATGTGAAAAAATACTAAATGTAAGTTTATCAATATTCATTAAGGGAATGTTCCAACATGCTTAATTGAATATTAATTTTTTCCTTTCTCACTGGAGCTTCTCTGATTAAAAGTCCCTCCTCTCAAATTATAGCAGTTTCCGCTGTGTTGAGCAGGGATGATTTCTGATGATTTTTTTCATTAATATTCAGGAAAGTTGTGCACCTGACAAAATTAAAAAAAAAATAAATAAATCCCACAAGATTCCTCACAGCTAAACTGTGTTCTGACTCTCGATGTCCTGTGTGCATTGCCTTTGTCTTTTCATAGGAGACCACTTGGGAACTCGGAGAACTTGACAGCTGCCCAGTTCTGTACTTACAGAATGGTTTTGCTCATTTAAAACTCCTTTTTCTCTGTGTGATGAATTTGCTTTGGGTTTTCAGGGGTATAGAAGATGATGGTAAACAGATCTGTTGGTCCCAGATGAGTTGCCGAAGAAACTCTAAAAAATCGAATGCAAGAAATAGAAGTCCTTAAAAGTTTGTGTGTGTTGAGCAGATTCACACAATTCTCTTCTGCTTAATGCTCCTGGTCATAGTTTGATGTCTTGCCCTCCACAACTTTAAAAATTTGATATAAATATGGGAGAGATCCAAATGTGCCACTCCACAGGGCACCGTGCTCAGAAGAAACTTACTGTGTCCGGAGCTATTGTTCAGAGAAGGTTTTGCGTCTCTGTCATGTCATCTCATGTCTTGGATGAGAGCCTTGCAATGTGGCATTGGCAAAACACCTACAGATTTGTAAAGTGTCTCTGTTCACAGCTTCTTAACTTATTTAACACACAACAGGTACAAATCCTTTTCATGCCAGTTGTCTGAGTTTTTCTGGTTGAGGGTGAAGGATCAGTTCATTGCTTTTTCTGTAAACGGAAGTTATGATAAATAGTCAAGGAAGTTAGAGTGGATAATAGAAGTGCTGAGTTCACATGCTCCATGTAGTTTCTGTTGTCAGAGCTGGAATTATCAAATATTATACCAAATGAGCAGTGTGCTTTCTTCCCATGGTTCTAAGTTAGTTTTGTTGCTGAGATAGGCTCAGTACAAAAAAAACCCCAAACAACAAAACTCAGTGTGCATGTCCAGATTAGATTATTTGCTATTGGTTTCTTTTTTCTTTTCCTTTCTTTTTTTTTTTTTTTTTTTTTTTT